GAACAAAAATAGAAAGCTCCTGATATAGGAAATTACTAACTCCAAAGCTCTTTACAACCCCATCGATGGAGACCAGAAGGCAGGAACCAGCCAGCCATCACCGCCCCTGTCTCTCTAATAGTCCGGGAGTTGCTCAACCGCAGCCACCAGGAATCAGCAGCATCCAGATCCTCAGGACCTACAGGTGAAGCCAGGCTCTTGTGGTCCTTCCTGCAATCAGGGGTGGGGAAAAGGCTAAAACTTCATTAGCTGGAACTGGGGGTCAACCAAGATGGAGACTTGGGAGGCTCCTGAGGTCCCCTCTCCCCACAGACGCGTTGACTATATGGCTTCATCTGGAGCAGTTCCCTCTGAAAGAGTTCCAGAAGCTAGCTGAATGACCCCTACACGTCTGAAAAATGAGGAAGTACCCACCTTCATATCAGTAAGAAAGGCTGAGTCATCTCCTGCCATTAACCCCACCCCCAGCAGAGCAACGTGTGATCAGAGGTCAGCCCCAGTTCTCACCCTCCCGAGGAAGGGTCTGGACCACACATCTGGAGCCCCACTGGAGGCAGTTCAAGATGGCGGCGTAGGAAGCTCCCCAATTTGCCTTCTTCCACCGACATACAACTACAACTACACGGGATACTTTCCTCAGAAAAGACCTGACAACTGAACAAGCAGAGCCTCTACAACAAAGGATAAGAAGACAGCACTGAGACAGTTAGCAGAGGCAGAAACACAGTCTCACACACACACACACACACACACACACACACACAAACAGAAAAAAAAACTCCATCCTAGGGGCCGCAATCCACAATTGGGAGCGATGTCAAGAATACAGAACTCTTCTCTAAGGTGAGATGGGTCTGAGCTCCATCAAAAGCATCCCAAATCGTCAATCCTGCCTAGAAAAGACAAGCCCCCAAAATGGCTGACTTTAAAAAACCAACGGGTATTACTTTCAGGAAAAACAGAGCTCCGCAGGGAATGGAGAATATGTTGAAAGGGCTCATGCACAGACCCCCTCACCCCAGGACCCATTACAAAACACCAGTTTGAAAATCACCTGGCTTATTCAGAAAGGAGACCCACTAACTAATCTTAAATCTTCCGCTGGAGAGGCACAAATTTGCTGGGACTCTTTCCGGTGATGGACACATTGGCCACTTTTATGATCTCATTCTACCTTGCTAATTCCAGGGCTGGTGGGTGCCATCTTGAAACTCTCCCTCTAACCTGCTAGTGTCAGTGGGGGTGCCCCCCTGGGAGCCCCACCACCCCTGTGTCACAGCTGGGCTGGGCAAGCACTCTGCCCACCCTTGCACTGCAGCAGGCAGTATGGGTGATGTCCTTGAGTTCCTAGTTCTGGTAGCCAGGGCTTCTCACAGAACATTTCCTACATGCCACTCCTTTAAGACTGCAAGAAGTGGCTCTTTTAGCTAATGCACAGAAGCCAACACAGAGAGTCAAGAAGAAGGAAGAAATGGAGGAATATGTTCCAAACAAAAGAACAAGATAAATCTCTAGAAATAGATCTTAGTGAGAGTTCAAAATAAGGGTCATAAATAGAGGAGTAAGCTTTTTGAAATCACTCTTAGTAATGATTTTTTTTTTTTTTGATTTAACACCCAAAGCAAAGACAACAAAAGCAAAATAAACAAGTAGGACTACATTAAACTAAATAGATTCTGCATAGCAAAGTGAAAGTGAAAGTGAAGTTGCTCAGTCCTGTCGGACTCTTTCCAACCCCATGGACTGTAGCCTATCAGGCTCCTCTGTCCATGGGATTTTCCAGGCAAGAGTACTGGAGTGGGTTGCCATTTCCTTCTCCAGGGGATCTTCCTAACCCAGGGATTGAACCCAGGTCTCCTGCATTGCAGGTATATGCTTTACCATTGGAAACCATCAATAATGTGAAAAGGTCACCTATGGAATAGGAGAAGACATATGCAAACCACATATCTGGTAAGAGTTTAATATCCAAAGTATACAAGGGACTCATATAACTCAATAGCAAAATAAACCCAATTAAAATATGGGCAAAGGGCCTGAATAGACATATTTCCACAGACAATATCCAAATGTTACAGGCACATGAAAATGTACTCAATATCACCAATCATTAGGGAAATGCAATTCAAAACCTCAAAGAGATGTCATCTCACCCCTGTTAGAAAGTCCTTTATCAAAAAAGACAAGAGAGAACAAATGCTAGTGAGGATGTGGAGAAAAGATAACCCTTGTACATTGTTGGTAGGAATGTAACTGGTATAGCCACTATGTATGAAGTTCCTTAAGAAATTAAAACAGAACTACTGTAAGATCCAGCTTTTCCACTTTTGGAAAAATATCCAAAAGAAATGAAAGCATTATCTTGAAGAGGGTATCTGTACTCCCCTGGTCATTTCAGCATTATTCACAATAGCCAAGGTATGGAAACAATCTCATGGTCCATTCACTGATGAATGGATTAAGAAAATGTGATAGACAGATGATAGAAATTTGAATATTTTTCAGCCTTTAAGAAGAAGGAAACACTTTCTTTTTGGCCGGAATCGCCATCTTCCAGTAATTCACCAAAATGACCAACACAAAGGGAAAGAGAAGGGGCACCCGCTACATGTTCTCTAGGCCTTTTAGAAAACATGGAGCTGTTCCTTTGGCCACATACATGTGAATCTACAAGAAGGGTGATATTGTAGATATCAAGGGAATAGGTACTGTTCAAAAAGGAATGCCCCACAAATATTACCATGGCAAAACTGGGAGAGTCTACAATGTTACCCAGCATGCTGTTGGCATCATTGTAAACAAACAAGTTAATGATGAATGGATTAAGAAAATGTGATAGACAGATGATAGAAATTTGAATATTTTTCAGCCTTTAAGAAGAAGGAAACACTTTCTTTTTGGCCGGAACCGCCATCTTCCAGTAATTCGCCAAAATGACCAACACAAAGGGAAAGAGGAGGGTCACCCGCTACATGTTCTCTAGGCCTTTTAGAAAACATGGAGCTGTTCCTTTGGCCACATACATGCGAAACTACAAAAAGGGTGATATTGTAGATATCAAGGGAATGGGTACTGTTCAAAAAGGAATGCCCCACAAATGTTACCATGGCAAAACTGGGAGAGTCTACAATGTTACCCAGCATGCTGTTGGCATCACTGTAAACAAACAAGTTAAGGGCAAGATACTTGCCAAGAGAATTAATGTGTGTATTGAGCATATTAAGCACTCTAAGAGCCGAGATAGCTTCCTAAAACGTGTGAAGGAAAATGACCAGAAAAAGAAGGAAGCCAAAGAGAAAGGGACTTGGGTTCAGCTGAAGTGCCAGCCTCCTCCACCCAGAGAAGCACACTTTGTGAGGACCAATGGAAAGGAACCTGAACTGTTGGAACCCATTCCCTATGAATTCATAGCCTGAAGGGTCTAAAAATAAAGACCTGGACTGTACAAATGTTTCTCTTAATTGAGTAGAGGTGTTGTGTCCAAATTCAGTGGGTGATATCTTTTCAAATTTAGTGTTTTTTCTTCCTTAAAGATGTAAGATAGTTTGTTGTTCAGTATGCTCCATTTTTTAATAAATTGACGTATTATTTAAAAAAAAAGAAGAAGGAAATATAGTCATTTATTACAACAAGGGTGAAACTGGAAGGCATTATATGAAGTGAGATAAGCTAGTTAGAGAAAGACAATTAGGGCATGATATCACTTATATGTAGACTCTAAAAGAGAAGTCAAACTCAAAGAAACAGAGAGTAGAAAAGTGGCTGCCAGAGGCTGAAGGGTGGGGAAATCGGGAGAGGTTGGTAAAAAGAGTACAAACTTTCAACTATAAGATGAATAAGGTCTGGGGACCTGACATATAACATGGAAAGTATAGTTGATAATACTGTCTTTACAGTCAGCAAGAGAGTAGAACATAAATGTTCTTACCAATGAATAAACAATCAAATACATATACCTGAGGTGATAGAAATGTTAATTAAGTTGATGGAGAGAATCCTTTCACAATATACACAATGTATCACCATTTTATTTATTGTATAAATATATGACAATTTTATTTGTCAATTATATCTCAGTGAAGCTGGAAAAACTAGAAAGTCCACCTTGCAATGGGGCGGCAAGTAGGGGTCAGAGGTCATGATGCCAAGACAGCTCAGAGAGTCAGAGGCCAGAAAATATGAAAGGAGGGAAAGCACTTCCTTGGCCACATTCGTCTTCAATTCTAACCACTCTTGTATTTCCTAAACATGTCCCATTCATCTGAGTCAGTAAAGGACCTACCACTTTTATAACACTGTGGACATTCATTCTGAAACAACCAAACCTCTCTAGGACATAACCACGACAGGACCCGGGAATGGGCAGCAGTTTCTGCTCATGACAACTCTGCTTAAGGAAACTGATCTGCTTCATGCTTGCCAGTCAGCAGGCAGTTATGATTAGAGGTGAACAGTACCCTTTCATAGAATTATATTTCCTTGCTCTGTGCTAGATGATTAATTACTCCAATAACATGAAGCACAATTCATGCCTACAACAGAGTTGGGAATGATCATGAGTTATTCTGGTCCTTTATCATGAAAAAACTCAGACAGACTGCTTTCCACAGTCCCAGAAACCCAGCAGGGCTGAAGGCATGCTGTGGACCAAGTGTTAAAAAAGGAAGCTTCTTCAAATTAGAGTCCTAGATTCTATTTGTGTATACATTTTTGATGGTCTAAATGTTCACAGTTTTGGAGAGCTAGAATCATTAATTTTTTTAAGTCTCGATTTGAAAGAGACATTGACTCATCTTCCACTAAGGGAATCTTCTAAGTTCTTCATCAGTCATGTTATACATCCCAGATCAACAAGCCTATATGTGGAGGGGATTTACGGGGTTTAGGGGGTAGAGGATAAAGTTATGTATAAGTATGTCCATGGAAAGTAAACACTGGCGTCTTCACAGATTAAGGCAAACACACAACATGCTTACAATGGGAAATTGTACAAGACTTACATTTGTGAGCCTTCAGTCCTTCAAAAGAAACTGGTCCAATCTCATAATACTCATATTCCCAGGTATAATCAGAATTAGATGCAGATTGCTGGGATGTCCTGTTAGAAATTAACCTCTGGGCAGACATTTCTACCTGCACAAATGAAGAAAGGCAAGCGCAGAGTTTGTTAACTTAGCCACACTGTCCTTGACCATCTTCAGGAGGTCAGCAGGCAAAAGCCTAAGGGAGGTCCTATCCATCAGGTCAGGGACATTTCTCCCTGGCTGCCCATACTTCATCCCAAGTGGCCATTATTTCCTTTTCTCTCTCCAAGAGACTGGTATATATTTGTAACCAGACACCATGTATTCTTTTGAGGTTGTTCCCCCAGAACTTAACCCAGTGCCTAGCACATAACCAAGTTCCAATAACTGATGAAAGAAAGAAGGAGGGAGAGAGTGGATCAAAATCCTCTGAGCTCACAACTTTAGCCTGACCACATATTACCACCTATAAAGAGCCTACAGAGGATAAATAAAATCAGTAGCAGGAGAGAAGCAGCTCAACAGATTTCTATCAAGCACCTTCCATAGAAAAATAGACATGCCACCTACATCTAGTGAAATGGAGTGGGGCAAAGAGAAGGGGACATCAAAAGTCACATCACTGGGGAAGATCCTCAATGGAAGTCCCAATCTTGGTCACCACTAACTCCCGAAATTTGTCCTATTTTCTGGATGTGCCAATGCCTCATTTTTTTACAATTTTAGATTAGAAAATGCTGACTTCTTTGTGAAATGAGGTTGCCCTGTACAGCATGGACACCTAAGATGCCAAGTCCACAGAGCCGGGATCCAGCACTGTGTACCTGTGATATGTGAGGCATGGTACATCATGGGCTAGGAGATGTCAGGCCAGGATCCCAGAGACCTCCCCTAATAACAAGAATTTATTAGGCAAGAATGTGCTTGCATGCTCAGTCACTCAGTTCTGTCTGACTCTTTGTGACCCCGTAGACTGTAGCCCACCAGGCTTCTCTGTCCATGGGATTTCCTAGGCAAGAATACTGGACTGGGTGGCTATTCCCTTCTCCAGGGGATGACCCTGACCCAGGGATCAAACCCGTGTGTCCTGCATTGCAGGCAGATTCTTTACCACCGTGGAAGCCATAATGGGGGAAGAACACTAAGCAACAAATAACAGTAACATAAGGAAGAGTCTGAATGAAGTACCAGTCAAAACCAAGATTCACTGAACAGTATAACCACTGAGGACCATTGCCCCACCCCAAGAGCTTTCTGAAGCTCCCCTTCTTCCACCCACCGTAGGTCGGGATCACCCACTGCTGCCTCCAGGGCACAATCTCCAGAGAAGCTGAGGCAAAATCTCCACCACTCTTCTGCCCCAAAGCATGAGTCTCACCTTTCCTTCTTTCTTTTTTAAAAAAAATTAATTAATTTATTTTAATTGAAGGCTAATTACTTTACAATATCGTGGTGGTTTTTGCATACATTGACATGAATCGGCCATGGGTGTACATGTATCCCCCCCATCCCAACTCCCACTCCCACCTCCCTCCCCATTCCATCCCTCTGGGTTGTCCCAGTACACTGGCTTTGAGCGCCCTGTTTCATGCATCAAACTTGGACTGGTCATCTATTTCACATATGGTGATATACAATGCTATCCTCTCAAATCATCCCACCCTTGCCTTCCCTACAGAGTCCAAAAGTCTGTTCTTTATATCTGTGTCTCTTTTGCTGTCTCACATAAAGGGTCATCATTACCATCTTTCTAAATTTCATATATATGCATTAATATACTATATTGGTGTTTTTCTTTTTGACTTACTGTAGCCTACTTACTGTAGAATAGGCTCCAGTTTCATCCTCCTCATACAAACTGATTCAAATGTGTTCTTTTTAATAGCTGAGTAATATTCCATTGTGTATGTGTACCACAACTTTCTTATCCATTCATCTGCCAGTGGACACCTAGGTTGCTTCCATGTCCTGGCTATTGTAAACAGTGCTGCGATGAACACTGGGGTACACGTGTCTCTTTCAATTCTGGTTTCCTCAGTGTGTATGCCCAGCAGTGGGATTGCTGGGTTGTACGGCAGTTCAATTTTCAGTTTTTTAAAGGAATCTTCACACTGTTTCCCATAGTGGTTGTAGTAGTTTGCATTCCCACCAACAGTATAAGAGGGTTCCCTTTTCTCCACACCCTCTCCAGTATTTATTGTTTGTAGACTTTTTGATAGCAGCCTTTCTGACTGGTGTGAGATGGTACCTCATTGTGGTTTTGATTTGCATTTCTCTGATAATGAGTGATGTTGAGCATCTTTTCATGTGTTTGTTAGCCATCTGTATGTCTTCCTTGGAGAAATGTCTGTTTAGTTCTTTGGCCCATTTTTTGATTGGGTCATTTATTTTTCTGGAGTTGAGCTGGAGGAGTTGCTTGTATATTTTTGAGATTAATCCTTTGTCTGTTGCTTCATTTGCTATTATTTTCTCCCAATCTGAGGGCTGTCTTTTCACCTTGCTTATAGTTTCCTTTGTTGTGCAAAAGCTTTTAGGTTTCATTAGGTCCCATTTGTTTATTTTTGCTTTTGTTTCTAAAATTCTTGGATGTGGGTCATAGAGGATCCTGCTGTGATTTATGTCGGAGAGTGTTTTGCCTATGTTCTCCTCTAGGAGTTTTATAGTTTCTGGTCTTACATTTAGATCTTTAATCCATTTTGAGTTTATTTTTGTGTATGGTGTTAGAAAGTGTTCTAGTTTCATTCTTTTACAGGTGGTTGACAAGTTTTCCCAGCACCATTTGTTAAAGAGATTGTCTGTTCTCCATTGTATATTTTTGCCTCCTTTGTCAAAGACAAGGGGTCCATAGGTGTGTGGATTTATCTCTGGGCTTTCTATTCTGTTCCATTGATCTATATTTTTGTCTTTGTGCCAGTCATACTGTCTTGATGACTGTAGCTTTGTAGTATAGTTTGAAGTCAGCTTTATAGTCTAGTCTGAAGTCGTCACCTTTCCCTCTTTCTTTCTTCCCCATTCCCAGTCCTGGATACCATAGAAACAGACTCCAAGCCCTCACATCCTGTTGTTCAAAAGAGGGTGCACTCTGACCCAGAGATGTGTGACAATATCAGAATGAGAGGGTGACTGTGAGTGCCCAGCCAGACAAATCACTACTCCAAAGGTAGAGGAGAAGGTACCAACTCTCCTTTGGGAAAGAAAGCTATACAAATTTTAAGAAAAGCTGACCTTTGAGTAAGGATTTGGTTACCTTTCTAATACTGGCACAGAAATAACCATTGATAATGGTAATGAAACCATTATGAAGAGTAGCTCTTCAGTTGTGAGGTTCAGAGATAAATGGTAGATTAGGATGAGCATAATTCCCATTTCAGAATGTTAAGAATTTCACACCACACAGGAAAAGGCACTGCATTTGAAGTCAGAAGATGAGAGTCTCCATTGTTGTTTTCCCTCCATTTGCTATGTTGCCAAACAGGACACTTCAGCCAGCCACATCTTCCTCTTCTGCAAAACCAACCATCCCGACTTCCTGTTGTTGGCAGGAAGTGGTTCTGCCTATGGTCACTAATTGACACCATCATTATCCACCTGGCCTGCTTCTTAAGCCTCCTGTTTTTTCTGCTTCTACTATTACCAACCCACTGCAATCCATTCTCCACACATCAGCCAATGATTTTTTAAAAAGACTAATTGCCCTTGTTACTCCTTTGCTTAGTACTTTTAAATGGCTTCCTATTGCTCTAAGGACAAAACCTAAAATCCTTAAGATATTCTACAAGGTCACGACTTGAGCCCTGCCATCTCTCCTTCTCTTGCCTCCTACCAAACATCAAGTTGCACTTGGACTTCTTGCAGTTCTTCAAATACTTCATGCTCCTTAAAACCTGCACACATACTGTTCCCTCTGACAGGAGTATTCCTCCTACCACTTCATCCTAACCCACGTCTCCTTTCCCGCATACTCTCATCATGTATACTGGAGAAAGCAAATCCATTTTACCACCTGTTTTTGTATAGTCTGCAAGTGAATAATGTTTTAATATTTTTAAGTTTTATTTTTATTTCTTTCTTCTCAAGTTTTCATTCATCTTATTTTTTAAATTATTTTTTTGCCACATCATGTGGCATGTGGGACCTAAGCTTCCTGACCAGGGCTTGAACCCACACCCCCTGCAGTGGAAGTGTGGAGTCTTAACCACTGGACCACCAGGGAATTTCCAAGAATGTTTTAATATTTTTAACCATTGGGAAGAAACAAAAGAATGGTATTATTCATGATCTGAGAGAATTTTAAGAAATTCAAGTATTAGAGCCCGTAAATACAATTTTATTGAAACGTAGCTACCCTCATTTTTGTTTTGTCTTCTCTAGTGGTACAACAGCTGAGTAGTTCTGAGGGAGATAGCAGAGTCCCCAAAGTCTAAAATATTTACTTTCTAATATCTTATAGAAAAAGTTTGCCAGCTCCCTCCTCGAGAGTTGTGGCAAAAAAAAATGATCTGAGCTTCAGTTTTCCCAACAGGAGAGTAAAAGTGATAACAGTACTAACATCGTGAAGTTGGTCTAAAGATGAAATGTGATGTGGCCTGAAATGTGCAGAGCCAGGAAGCAGGCAAAAGCTAGTCTGAGAAAGAAATGCCTAGGTTTATTCTTTACACAACCACAACTTCCCTGTCAGCCAGTTCCTATCAACTTCACCATATGGTTAGTTGATCTATGTATTTTAGATGAATAAAATTACTATACTAAAAAAATAAATCAAAAGGCATTCATTTCATGGTTTAAAATCACAATGAGAAATATGGGATTCATGATGTTTCATCAAAAACATGGTAATAATCTCTTCTTGAGGCAAATAAGATGAATTCTGGTTTGATCATATCATTTTTATGGGAAATTAGCATTACAGCCAATGTAATAAGCAGAGGAAGGTAGCTGGCTTCAGCTGGTGTCAAAATAGAAAAACAGAAAAAAGTATATAAAATGATAAAGAAAACAAATATGAGCAAGCATTTTCCATGCTCTGAGCATCACTGCCCATGATGTTCTTCTCCACATCTGTGCACAGTGGTCCCCCATCCATGGTTGCCCAGGCCCACAGGTCCAGCA